AATCAGAGGTAAAAAACTATATAAATACTGTTCAGTTTCTTGCACAGACCGATCGTTTTGTGTCTTTACACATCAATGTATCGTCACGAGCCGCAGGGTTTAATTTGGTTTTGTTTGTGTATGTTTTTTTTTACTCAAAGCCGTGATTCCCATCCACTGACATTATATGACTGACAGACTGCAACGGTTTGAGTTAAAAATCTTCGTTTGTGTTCTACTGAAGAAACAAAGTCACCTACATCTTGGATGCCCTGGGGGTAAGCAGATAAACATCACATTTTCATTTTTGGGTGAACTATCCCTTTAAGGCCTGTTCACACCAAGGACGATAACGTTAAAGATATAGTTCTAAAAATCGTTCTCAATATTAAAGAATAGCAGAGACCACACCACAGCTATAACGATAAAGGCACAGAGAAACGATATAGTTGGAATCATTTTCAGAACAATTTTTTCCAGCTGATGAACGATAAAAACATTGACAGCCAATCAGAATCAATCCTGCTATAACGAGCTCGAGAGTTTAAAGTGGCAGACGAGCATTTGCTTGGAATAAACAGACGATATCGTCTGCTGGTGTGGACGCTAATATAGTTATCTTTATATTTATCATTCTTGGTGTGAACGGGCCTTTAGAAATATCATCAATTTCTGGAATCATACTCAATGAATCAATTAAAAAGAAGAATTACAGAGGACGAGATTCCGTCTAGAAGACAAGCTTAGCTTAGAGAACCATTGAGAAAATAAGAACCTAATTTTTTTTTTTTTTAAATAAGATTATAAAAAAATATGCAATGTGATCATTTTATTTTATTTCTGTAATACAATGTTTGTTTCTTGTCCAGCATTAATCAATAAATAGCATTAAATCATTTTAAAATGAACAAAAGTTTGGCAATGATGTACACTGGCCCTGAATGAATATCAGAGCCCATGCTGATTCATTAAATTAAGGATACTTTTCCTTAATATAAACCAAAAATGCTCTTGGTAGATAGAGGATTCAGTCAACAAAGCAGATTATCCTCTCAGCACAGGATTATCTTTAACATTCTTTACGACAAAATGAATGTGGAAGTCAAGAAATATATAAGTTGTGAATCTAACACACCTGACTCTGCACAGTTTCCACGACAGAAAATTAAAGAAGCCTCAAATATGCTCTTATCCTTTTTAATCAAGCAAGAAAAATAAGAGCAGTTGTACAGAAATGTGAGAGGAGAGCTTGTATTTCTATATATCAGTTCTATAAAAGCTTAACTGAGAGATGATTTCTGAGCCTAAACATCACTCGTGGTGCTCCGTGTCGGGCTCTTCTTCAAGCGGCTGCTCCTCAGACTGTCATGTGTTTACAGCAGGGGCCGCGATCAGCCCACCGTCCTGCGCAGTGTTGTAAGAGCCACAGGAGCTGCATTTCATGCCCAACACGTGGAAGGAGACAGTGCAGTGAGCCTGGCAGTCATTGCATATGATCTGTGAACATAAAAACACATACATACATAAAGTGTAGCTGACTTATAAGGGGAAATCTCACAAGAACAGGTCATATTTCAACGTAACATCAAAGGAAAAAAGTAAGAAATTATTCAATTAATTATTCAAATAAAAATGTATATTTTTACATAAAAGGTAACCAATTGAATAAATGAAACCAGATTTAGGGCCATTTATGATTGTGACCCACACTTTTTTGTCATTCGCAATAATTGTATCTATTATTCTAATTTGTGTAAAACAGTAAAAAGTATTATAACTATTGTTTGTTATTAAATCAGTATAATTAAAGGCTAATTCTACCATGAGGAAAAAATATTACAATTATTTTTTCTTTCTTTTTATTTGCATAACATTAATGAGAATGCAATTTTTATTTCAGAAATAAGAACTGGTGAATCAGAGGAAATGTGCTTAACTGTCATGGGGGGAAAATATGGTCCCACAAGAGGTGTACTGTAATTTTATTTTGCAATATATTTAAAAACGAATTATTAACAAAACTACTATAAATAAAACTACATAATTATAGAAAATTATTTATGAAATATGAAAAGTCCTAGAAAAGTCAGGTTTTAAGAAATTCCCGTGTTGTTATTGTTACCTAAAGCTATTATAAATCATTTTTGTTCACTGAAATAAAATATAAATATTATATGAAACACTCAAATTAAAATGAGGAGTGTTTCCATGGCAACAAACTGAAATAAGTTAAAAACTAAAATTACTCAAACTAAAACTGAAATAAAAATAAACTGAAAATAAAAGTTAAATAGAAATGTTAAAAAAAACTAATAAAAAAGACAAAAGTCTTAAACTGAAATTAAAATGAAAACTAAAAATATAAAAAAGGTAATTCAAAATATTAATAAATACTATAAAAGTATAAAAATAGTTCTAAAATAAGACAGCAAGAGATTCACCTTATAAATGGCAGAAGAAGAAAAAAACTAAACTACTGAGGCCACATGCTGTAAGCTAAAATAATCATTCTGAGCTTCACAGTAAAATGACCAAACTAGATATTGCCACATCCGAGCTGAACCTTTGGCATTTTAAAACTGCAGGATATGAGCACAGACTCATAAACGAACATTCAATTCTGCTTGTGTCTGCATTGCTCCTCATTTGTACGCTCATTTAGATAAAGTGTCTGCTAAATGAATATATGTAAATGACGGCTCTGTTACCTTGACTGTAGTGTCCCGGTACTCTGTAGGCATGGGAGACTGGGCAATTTCCTTATCTCTCTCTTCCCAGAACTCCTTCATGTTGAAGGCCGAATGCATACACAGAGGACAGCGGTAAGCACTGCGGGACAGACAACATAAACTCGCCTCTCAACATTAGAACATTATCGTATAAGCCTAAGACGGGTTCTTGGAGTGCAGTGAGGATCAAAACATGTAAACACAGCTCAGAGGGGCTGTTACTGTGCAACAGATGAGTGTGACACTTCTTAAGTTAATGGAAATGTCAGTATGAATCTATGCAGAATTAGCAACAAGTCATAAGAAATCATTAATGCAGTAGTCACAAAAAAAAACATCATTCCTTACCCAGTTATGCACATGTCCTCAAAGCATGTTCTGCAAGCAAAACAAAAAAAAGTGTTTTTACATTAAATCACATTCATTTGATGACACATGGGTCAGGGCACCAGATGGTACGCACTCTGTGATCTTAAACATAGGATTTCAGCATTTTTAATAGAAATGATACTTCCTAGCAAATATATTTAAGATAAATTTAAAAGTGTTTAAGAGCATTTAAATACAATTTTGTGACTTTGAAGAATCTCTCATGACTTTTTATCATTGACAGATATTTGTTCTTGTTTTAAGCATAAACTCACTTAATTTTGTTCAAGTTTTCAAGACTATACACTGCCGTTCAAAAGTTTGGGATCAGTAAGATTTGTAATGTTTTTTTAAAGAAGTCTCTTCTGCTCATCAAGGATGCATTTATTTGACCAGAAAAGTTTAGAGTAGGGATGTGCGGCTCTAGTCGACTAAACGGTACAGCTCCTACTAGTCGACAAAAAAAACAATAGTCGATTACACGACAGAAAAAAAACAACAACAACATGATTTTCATTCAAATTACCGTCATTTTAACATTGCATCTAAAACATTTTAAATAACAAGTAAAAATAAAACGTTTGAAAAATAATATATTATTTTTAAAAGTTTATCTGGACGGAAACTACATTTTTACCTCAGACCTCACATGCGTTTTCTTCTTGTCAGTTGCGGCGAGTTCAAAAATGACCATGCGAAAGACGAAGGTAACCAATTGAATAAATGAAACCAGATTTAGGGCCATTTATGATTGTGACCCACACTTTTTTGTCATTCGCAATAATTGTATCTATTATTCTAATTTGTGTAAAACAGTAAAAAGTATTATAACTATTGTTTGTTATTAAATCAGTATAATTAAAGGCTAATTCTACCATGAGGAAAAAATATTACAATTATTTTTTCTTTCTTTTTATTTGCATAACATTAATGAGAATGCAATTTTTATTTCAGAAATAAGAACTGGTGAATCAGAGGAAATGTGCTTAACTGTCATGGGGGGAAAATATGGTCCCACAAGAGGTGTACTGTAATTTTATTTTGCAATATATTTAAAAACGAATTATTAACAAAACTACTATAAATAAAACTACATAATTATAGAAAATTATTTATGAAATATGAAAAGTCCTAGAAAAGTCAGGTTTTAAGAAATTCCCGTGTTGTTATTGTTACCTAAAGCTATTATAAATCATTTTTGTTCACTGAAATAAAATATAAATATTATATGAAACACTCAAATTAAAATGAGGAGTGTTTCCATGGCAACAAACTGAAATAAGTTAAAAACTAAAATTACTCAAACTAAAACTGAAATAAAAATAAACTGAAAATAAAAGTTAAATAGAAATGTTAAAAAAAACTAATAAAAAAGACAAAAGTCTTAAACTGAAATTAAAATGAAAACTAAAAATATAAAAAAGGTAATTCAAAATATTAATAAATACTATAAAAGTATAAAAATAGTTCTAAAATAAGACAGCAAGAGATTCACCTTATAAATGGCAGAAGAAGAAAAAAACTAAACTACTGAGGCCACATGCTGTAAGCTAAAATAATCATTCTGAGCTTCACAGTAAAATGACCAAACTAGATATTGCCACATCCGAGCTGAACCTTTGGCATTTTAAAACTGCAGGATATGAGCACAGACTCATAAACGAACATTCAATTCTGCTTGTGTCTGCATTGCTCCTCATTTGTACGCTCATTTAGATAAAGTGTCTGCTAAATGAATATATGTAAATGACGGCTCTGTTACCTTGACTGTAGTGTCCCGGTACTCTGTAGGCATGGGAGACTGGGCAATTTCCTTATCTCTCTCTTCCCAGAACTCCTTCATGTTGAAGGCCGAATGCATACACAGAGGACAGCGGTAAGCACTGCGGGACAGACAACATAAACTCGCCTCTCAACATTAGAACATTATCGTATAAGCCTAAGACGGGTTCTTGGAGTGCAGTGAGGATCAAAACATGTAAACACAGCTCAGAGGGGCTGTTACTGTGCAACAGATGAGTGTGACACTTCTTAAGTTAATGGAAATGTCAGTATGAATCTATGCAGAATTAGCAACAAGTCATAAGAAATCATTAATGCAGTAGTCACAAAAAAAAACATCATTCCTTACCCAGTTATGCACATGTCCTCAAAGCATGTTCTGCAAGCAAAACAAAAAAAAGTGTTTTTACATTAAATCACATTCATTTGATGACACATGGGTCAGGGCACCAGATGGTACGCACTCTGTGATCTTAAACATAGGATTTCAGCATTTTTAATAGAAATGATACTTCCTAGCAAATATATTTAAGATAAATTTAAAAGTGTTTAAGAGCATTTAAATACAATTTTGTGACTTTGAAGAATCTCTCATGACTTTTTATCATTGACAGATATTTGTTCTTGTTTTAAGCATAAACTCACTTAATTTTGTTCAAGTTTTCAAGACTATACACTGCCGTTCAAAAGTTTGGGATCAGTAAGATTTGTAATGTTTTTTTAAAGAAGTCTCTTCTGCTCATCAAGGATGCATTTATTTGACCAGAAATAGAGAAAAACTGTAATTTTGTGAAATATTATTGCAATTGAAAATAATGGTTTTCTATTTTTAATATACTTTAAAATATAATTTATTCCTGTGATGCAAAGCTGAATTTTCATCGGCATCATTACTCCAGTCTTCAGTGTCACATGATCCTTCAGAAATCATTCTAGTATGCCGACTTATTATTAATATTGGAAACAGTTTTTCTGCTTTTTTTTTTGGAACCTGTGATACTTTTTTTCAGGATACTTTGATGAATAAAAAGTTAAAAAGAACAGCATTTATTCAAAAAATAAATATTTTGTAACAATATACACAACCATTCATAAGTCTGGGGTCAGAATTTATTTATTTATTTTTTTAAAGAAATGCTTTTATTCAGCAAGGATGTGATGAATTGATAAAGTTTTAATAAAGACTTACATTGTACGGAAAAGTTTTGTGTAAACTGTGTAATGTCAAATTGTCTTACAATAACTCTACTGGAGCGATGCGTAATCATATTCAATACAGGCAGGTAGGCGATAGCTTAGAGACTAGCCAAAGCCAGCAAATGTCAATCACGTCATTCACGCGCCGTCTATTCCTCTAAAGAAGACTTAGGCTTCTTTGGTAGAGAATTACCTGTGCAATAATCATGCTGTCTAATCAGCATCTTGATATGCCACACCTGTGAGGTGGATGGATTATCAATTTTCAGCATCATTACTCCAGTCTTCAGTGTCACATGATCCTTCAGAAATGCTTAATATTTTTTTGGAACCTGTGATACTTTTTTTCAGGATACTTTGATGAATAAAAAGTTAAAAAGAACAGCATTTATTCAAAAAATAAATATTTTGTAACAATATACACAACCATTCATAAGTCTGGGGTCAGAATTTATTTATTTATTTTTTTAAAGAAATGCTTTTATTCAGCAAGGATGTGATGAATTGATAAAGTTTTAATAAAGACTTACATTGTTAGAAAAGATTTCTATTTTAAATAAATGCTTTATTCAAAGAATCCGGAAAAAAGTATCACGGGTTCCAAAAAAAATAAATAAATAAATAAAAAGTGTTGCGTTTATAATTTTGTTCAGTGTATATATTAAGCAGCACAACTGTTTCCAACATTGATAATAAATCAGCATATTGGAATGATTTCTGAAGGATCATGTGACACTGAAGACTGGAGTAATGATGCTGAATATTCAGCTATGATCAGAAAAATAAATTATATTTTAAAAGAATATCAAAATAGAAAAACATTTTTTTAAATGGTAATAATATAGTGTTTTTTTTTTTTTTGTATTTTTTGGTCAAATAAATGCAGCCATGATGAGCAGAAGAGACTTCTTTAAAAACATGAAAAATCTTACGGATCCCAAACATTTGAACAGCAGTGTATATCTTCATTTTGCATAACAAGTAAATGTATCTTGATTTAAGGATCTTTAGATAATTTGTATTGGGGAAAAAATAGATGCATGCAATGACTATGAATTGAAGACTTTCTGCTTTTAACTTAATTTGTGGAAGGGTAAATTAAGATTTTTTAAAATGCGCAAAAACCCAGATTTTTAATTTTTCATATAATGACAGTCAAATAAATTTAGTCAAGTGTGTCCAAACCGGTAGTGAATATTACTAGTAATAATCAAACACTCACTTGTGTAGCAGATGACCGCAGGGGAGCACATGAGCCCCTATTCTGGACGTGTGGATGTCCTCCATACATACAGGGCAGTTCTGCCTAGATAAATGCTAGAAACCTTTATTTAAAAGTCCTTTGACGTTCGTGCTCGGGGTTCTCGGTCTATTCCACTGAATTACAAAAATATATGTATTTTCTTTTAAACATAAGAAAATTATTTTATTTTTTTTAATTTAATAGTTTCATAGTGAAGCTTTAATTTTACGATTGTTATGAAAAACAGAATATTTTTGAAGATACTAATCCATGTAAAGTGAAATCTACTTGATGTGTAGTCCTAATGAAATGAAATATGTAGAACTGCATTATATTTCCTGACCCTATACGGGCCATTCATGGGATTCGGTAACATTTCAACTTGGAATATATATACACATAGCCTATCTATCTATCTATTATAGACTATATCTATCTATTAGCCTATTGACTTATTGACTATACTTATTGAGTTGTTACACTAAATGAAAATGAGAAATATTGCTTTGGCAATAAGCTGAAATAAAATAAGTTTAAAGTTTTTTATCTATCTATCTATCTATATATATATCTATATACACTGCCATTCAAAAGTCTGGGATCAGTAAGAATTTTCATGTTTTTTAAAGAGTTTCTTATGCTCACCAAGGCTGCAAATATTTGATCAAAAATACAGAAAAAAAAAACATTAAAATTGTGACATATTTTTGCAATTTAAAATAACTTTAATATACTTTAAAATATAATTTATTCCTGTGATGCAAAGCTGAATTTTCAGCATCATTACTCCAGTCTTCAGTGTCACATGATCCTTCAGAAATCATTCTAATATGCGGATTTAATATCGATGTTAGAAACAGTTTTTGCAGAAAAGCCACATAGAAGAACCACATAGAATTTTCTTTTTTTTAGACAAGTTCTTAACCAATTAAGTTTAAAAGTGTTGTTAATGCCAAAAAAAATCTATCGTCTCTAAGCCAACCATCTACTCTTTTGCCTGATATGATGTCCTCAGCTCTCCCTCAGCTCTGGACAGTAAAACTCTCCCAAAAATGGTAAGATCCCTTGGTAGCCAACTATTCGAGATATATTTAGTTTTCACAATTTTTTTATATATAAAATTAAATTGTTCACAGGTAGCTTTATAAAATATTTAAAGGGGTCATATGATGCTGCTCTTAACCAATTAAGTTTAAAAGTGTTGTTAATGCCAAAAAAAATCTATCGTCTCTAAGCCACCATCTACTCTTTTGCCTGATATGATGTCCTCAGCTCTCCCTCAGCTCTGGACAGTAAAACTCTCCCAAAAATGGTAAGATCCCTTGGTAGCCAACTATTCGAGATATATTTAGTTTTCATGATTTTAGATATAAAATTAAATTGTTCACAGGTAGCTTTATAAAATATTTAATGGAATCATTAAGTTGTGTAAAAAAACAAATTAAGAGCCCCTGACGCTATCTGGTCAGAATAGTCTAAAATAGGTCAAAAATAAGACGAATATTATTACTAATATCTTAGTAATAAGATATTATTAAGATATTACATGTCTATTACAAGGGATCTTTGTCGGGCTTAGGGATCAGGGAGATTGAGCCTTGTCTCATAGTTGTGGCCAATTCCTTTATTTTAATACATTAAAGAGAAAGGAAAAACTGAAATCGCATCATATGACCCCTTTAATGGAATCATTAACTGGTGTAAAAAAACAAATTAAGAGCCCCTGACGCTATCTGGTTAGAATAGTCTAAAATAGGTCAAAAATAAGACGAATATTATTACTAATATCTTAGTAATAAGATATTACTAAGATATTACATGTCTATTACAAGGGATCTTTGTCGGGCTTAGGGATCAGGGAGATTGAGCCTTGTCTCATAGTTGTGGCCAATTCCTTTATTTTAATACATTAATTAAAGATGCTGTATGTAGGATTGACACCGAGTGGTTGAACTAGGTATATCAAAATATTGGAGAGGGTTTTTTTCACCCGGCCCCTCCTCCTCAGACTTGACGCACACGCAGGTTGCCAGATTGACGACACCAACAGGAACGAGCGCACTTGACGATGAATGAAATGAAACGCGCTGTTTTTTCGAGAGGCTGCTCGCTGCAGAGCAAATGGGTGGAGCTTACGTGTAGCTCCCCCTCGCTAGACGTCCAGCGGGGAGGAGCTACACGTAAGCTCCACCTCTTTTGATCTAGTCTAGCTCCACCTTTATGGATCTAACGTTAGTAAAGCGACACTCATTTCGCTACCATAGTGGCTGTTAAAGTTAATGCAAGCCCTTCGTCAGATGGATCTTTAACCTAATGGGGAATTTTTTATTTTTTATTATTTTTATTATTATTATTGTTGATTGGGTCAAAGTAACTATCCGGTTACATCGGTCTCATCCGCTTCCAGCTATTTTTAGCTGTGCAAAACAGCTCGTTTTGCTGCTTGTTATTGCAAACTGGGGTTTATTACCATATTATTTTTATGTATCATCTTAATTATGAACACACTGGTTTGTAATGCAGTTCTACCGTTTACTGCACGGTGTTATTCATCTCATTATTTCCCTTTAGCGGCTAATGAACGTAAGTCTCGCCCATAGGCTTACTTCCGCGTTGAAGAATAAGGTGGATAAGACTTGCATGGAACGACATGCTGACATAGCTAATGTTGCCTAACCTTTCTTTAACATTTTTGATGATTTCGTGATTTTTCGGCAGTTTCTGTTACTAATGTATGACTAGATTATCTGCGCACCCCTGCTTTCTTTTTACCAACCACATTAAGGCTATGTAGGCTATTTGCGAATTTATCTCAATCATAATTAATGTAATAAAGTATGCTCCTAATATGCTATTTGTTTTTAAACGTGGGAACTGAGTTGCCCTTGCAGGTGTGATAAATAAAATGATCACCTATTTGTTTGTCTTCTAACTTATTCCTTTTAAATGTACACTTAGGTGCACCTTAAAATGAAAATGCAATTGTAGCATATGCACAACAGTGTAGTTGTGAATATAATTTAGTGGAATATAATTTTGGATGGACTCAGTCCACGTGATTGTCTTAATCAAATGGTAATAAGTAACCTACCTACCTGCCTGCCCAGGTTACTGGTCTGAAACCAGCCACGGGTCACACCAAAGAAAAAACAAGAGGACAAGTGTTGGCAACCATTGCAGGAACATTTATTAGTAGCCTGGGAGTGTTACTTAATTTACAATTTATGAGTCACATTCTTCACTGCCCTCAAGTGTTGCTGTATATATTTTATTTCTATTAACCTTTATTAGCAAAACGTACGGCTAACAATCTTCAATCTAGGAACACAATAATAGGATACAAGACACAAAATTGAATATCAAGTTTCAAGAACACTTTTTTTTTCCCCACAAAACTTTAATTATTATTTTTTTTAAACCTAAAACTACAAGGCAATACAAAACAAAATTTAAAAAACAATATTTACCCAGATCAACCCCATCAGACAGTTAGCTTGTTAAAGGTGAGGGTCATGCAGGCAAGACACAAATTTTTATTTTGTCATTTATTTCCTGCAAGAAAAACTCCTTGTCTTCAATTCTCTCAAAGGTGAAAAGGAAGGGAGCCCGGATTTTGTCCTCATCCATTTCACCTTCATGGAAAATAGTGTCAATAAATAGGTCCCGCATTATGGCCAACAAGGCATCATCCTCGGTCATCCTTAAGATCTGTGGTAAGTGAACTTTCCCAGCAAAGTGGGGTCTGTTTTCCTCCACCCAGTCACAGGCCAGCAGAATCTGTTTCATCACTGCCGAGTCCTTTGTGCAAAAAGATAAGACATTTCAATAATGATGTAATTAGTCAAGTGCTGCTCAAGCACTTTTATGGAGACTAAAGTGTTCCTGGTGGTTTCACACCTAATTCTTCACCTTAATTCTTAATTCGTTTACAGTTAATGTGTCTTTTCTTCTCCAGCTACTTTTTTTCTGACCATATTGACCCAGTGAGCATTTCGCTGTCCAGTAGGCATGATTTATTTGAGCAATTTCTGCATTGCATTACTTTTGAATATTTCTCATGGGCATTTAATCCGTGTAGCTCCTCCCCGCTGGACATCCGTGTAGCTCCTCCCCGCTGGACGTCCGTGTAGCTCCTCCCCACTGGACGTCTAGCTCCACCCATTTGCTCTGCAGTGAGCAGCAAATGTTTTTTTCCGCCAACTGGCAACCCGGGGTGACGAAAACTGGCGGTGGGCGGGTTTCACAAACCAAAACAGAGACCGACATTCCGGCACGGAACGCACATTTTCAAAGGAGAATAACTGACTGTAGCATTGTTTTTCAGATAAACATGTTAACTTAGCATGTTTCTTAAATATCTGCAAACATATTGTGGTATTTTTATGCTTTAGTAGAGTCAAAAACTTACATACAGGGGTGTGAAAAAGGGTTGGCCCCCTTCCTGATTTCTTATTTTTTTGCATGTTTGTCACACTTTAATGTTTCAGATCATCAAACAAATTTAAATATTAGTCAAAGATAACACAAGTAAACACAACATGCCGTTTTTAAATGAAGGTTTTTATTATTAAGGGAAAACAAAATCCAAAACTACATGGCCCTGTGTGAAGAAGTGGAGAAAAAGTCATAAACATTGTAGCAATATAAGAAGCACATGTCAAAAATGCACCTGCGAAGTTAACAGGAATTATGAGCTCAGTAATTAAACTTAACAACACACTCTTTTGACAATTCATAACAATTTTGGTGAATTATTGGCTAATTTGTATGAATTTAGTGGTGGGGTAGAATTTAGAATTTTTTCTAAAGATCCTATGTTCCATTGGATTCACATAGTACGAATTCATATCAAATCTCCACATCGTTAAATAGGTATGTTTTCTCATGAGATCAGGTTGGAACTTAAGGCTTGAAAGTCTTAGTGACCCGGTTACCTTAAGTGACTTTATCTGGCATTATCTGTCCTGCTCCTACCATTGTTTACAAAGCTAGATTCATGTCCATTTGAATTCGTTTTGATTTTGAAGTCAGATAAACACACTGCATACATTATATATATGTGTGTGTGTGTGTGTGTGTGTGTGTGTGATTTGGTGTCAATTATAATCATTAAATAATAGTGCTAAATTATTAATAATGGCTTTAATTGATTTCTGAAGGATCATGTGACACTGAAGACTGGAGTAATGATGCTGAAAATTCAGCTTTGCATCACAGGAATAAATTATATTGAAAATATATTTAAATAGAAAACAGTATTTGAAATTGTAACAATATTTCACAATTTTACTGTGTTACTGTATTTTTGATCAAATAAACACAGCATGGTGAGCCTTTAAAAATAAAAAAAAATCTTAATTACTCCAAAATCTCTCTCTCTCTGTCTCTGTCTCTGTCTCTAATGCATAGTTTCCTAGTTTCATTCATGAATTCCTTCACGCCCACTAATTCCTTTGTCTGTTTGGGTACTTGTTTAAATCTTATTATTATTATCCTGTAGTAAATATGGCACTCCATTTCTAACTACTGTACTGTGGCTAAAGAGCCTCTAGTTTAGAATAAGTTTATGAATAAGCAATTGGGTGTTGAAGGGGGTCTTAAACTCATCTGTAACTTGGTAAGAGCATTCATTCATCGACACATGGCAAGCATGCCATTTCAAAGAACTTAAAGGATGATGACACTTAAGTTGAACTCTTAGCTCCTTATAGAGAGCATTAGAGCTCTGGTGCTGCCTCCTGCTTGCCTCTTTATACTTAAATAGGATAGATTTAACGTCAGTAAAGCTCTGAGATTTACAGGTGCACAGAACACTAGCTATCCTCCTCGTGGAGGATAGCGGAGGACTGAAAGGATATTCAACTTTCAGAGAAACAGGAGACAAAGCCTCTTTCCCAACTGCAAACTAGCAACCTCTGAGTCAACAGACGACGCTGTTCCGTTCACTAAACTGTGTTTGTTAAAACAGTGGAGCTCTTTAGGCGAATTACAGACGGATATCTATGAAATCTTTGGTGACGATGAGGAGATTGAGAAGCATTCAGAACCAACGTTGTGGTTTGTAAAAGCATCACCCAGCAGGAATTGCATGCTTAACCTCAACGTTGGTGGAAAGTCCTACCGCATCACCTACAAAATGGCAGCAAGATACCCACAGAGCAGAATTGGCCGTCTGGCAACCTATACGGACCTCAACATGAAGTTGAACCTCTGTGACGACTACGTTGTGAAGGACAACGAGTATTTCTTCGACCGAGATCCAGACATCTTCAACAGCATCTTCAACTTCTACAGGACCGGCGTGCTGTGGATCAAGGACGAGCTTTGTCCGAGGAACTGCTTGGAAGAGATCAATTACTGGGGCGTTCGGATCAAATACTCGCAACGGTGCTGTCGGATCCTGCTCGAGGAGAAACACGACGAGTTGTGCGTACAGCTCAAGGTTCAGAAGGAACTGGAGGCGGAGGTGGATGTCGAAGAAAATGAGGAGGCATTCAATGACATGTTCCTCGGCGAGACGAGACGCTCGCTTTGGAACTTCATGGAGAAACCGTTCTCCTCAGTACCGGCGAAACTAATGGCGGTCGCCTCAAGTATGTTTGTGCTGGTGTCGCTGGCTACAATGACTTTGACTACGGTAGAAGAAATGGAGAACATGGCATCTAATGAGTTTAGCGGAAAGACATTTGGAGAGTTCGTAGAGACACTGTGCATAACCTTCTTCACCGCTGAGTACCTGCTGCGTCTAGTTTCAACCCCAGATATTGGTTGCTTTGTTAAAAGCATGCTGAACGCGGTTGACCTCATGGCCATCCTACCGCAGCTTCTCCAGTTCGTGCTCGAAAGCTTTGAGACCTTCAATTCTGGGACACAAACCACTGACATGGAGACTGTTGGTCAGATGAGCAAGGTGGGACAAGTGTTACGAATCATGCGACTCATGCGTATTTTTCGTGTTCTGAAACTGGCGCGTCACTCGACGGGGCTCAGAGCGTTTGGCTTCACGTTGAGGCAGTGCTATCAGCAGGTGGGATGTCTCTTCCTCTTTATCGCCATGGGGATCTTCACATTCTCCGCCATGGTTTATACCGTTGAACACGACGTCCCTCAAACCAAGTTCACCAGTATTCCACATTCTTGGTGGTGGGCATCTGTAAGTAAACATTATTTCTATTAATCATGCAGATATGATATAGTTGATGTTGAATATAGTTAAATTACTCACCCTCATGTCTTTCAAAACCAGTATTATTTTGTTTTTTTTCTGTAGAAAACACAAAAGGAGATATTTATAGAATGCAACAGTCAGGTTCTGAAAGTAAAATTCCATTCCTTTTCTCTATCCAGGGATGGGCATATCGATCCAAAGTATCGATATATCGATACTGACGCGAGTATCGAAAGTATCGATACTCAAACAAAAAATATCGATACTAAGGTGTGTTTTATTTACCAGTGATTTTGTTAATTTAACAACAAAATAATTCGTACAATATGCATTGAATTGGACGAATAACCTTTGTTAGCGAGTAATTGTGTAGGATAGAACTATTTTCCTGCTCATCTGAACACATGCAAATGTTGCAAGACAGAA